CAGCTGTTCGTCCACCTCTCAGAGGAAGTCTTCTTCTTCTGTGGTTCTGATCCTTCTTCTTCTCTCCTGCTGCGCTCAGATCCAGAGGAGGACCACCATCAGGAGGTGAAAGACTTCCTCCATCAGCTGAGCCTCTCCTCCTCCTCTGCTCCTCCTCCTGGTCCTCCCGCTGCTCCTCCTCCTCCTCAGAGAAACCTGAGGTCTCTGGAGCGGCAGCTGCAGGTGTTGAAGGGCGTGTCCCAGCGGGAGGCGGAGCCTGACTCTCTCATCCAGTTTCACGACGTGGACTTCCCGCTGGACGAGAGTGTAGTCGTAGCAAAGAAGAAGAAGAAGAAGAAGAAGGCAGCAGGTAAAGGTGAGCATAAAGTCTACGGCACCCCGGATGTTGATGAGCCAGTGAGTGACACCTGCTGCTCCGGCTGCGGCGCCATCCTGCACTGCACCGACGCCGCCGTCCCTGGATACCTGCCCAGTGAGAAGTACAAGGTGCTGCTGCAGGAGGAGCGTCTGAGCAGCGCCACGTGTCAGCGCTGCCACCTGCTGACGCACCACCACAAGGCCCTGAACCTCCAGATGTCCTCTGAGCAGTACCGCGCCGTGGTGAAGCAGCTCTGCCCCCTCAAGGCTCTGGTGCTGCTCATTGTCGATCTGCTGGACGTCCCCGATTCCATCGTCCCCGACCTGCCCGAGCTGGTGGGGACCAACAAACACATCGTTGTCCTCGGCAACAAGATCGACCTCCTGCCCGGAGACTCGCCCAACTACCTGCAGCGAATCAAACGCCAGCTCTCCCAGTACTGCCAGGACGCCGGCTTCGGTAGTCAGGTGACCGACGTCCACCTGATCAGCGCCAAGACCGGGTATGGCGTCGAGTATCTGATCTCCAGCCTGCAGCGCTCCTGGAAGTACAAAGGTGACGTGTACCTGGTGGGCAGCGCCAACGCTGGCAAGTCGACGCTCTTCAACACGCTGCTGGAGTCCGACTACTGCAAGTCCAAAGCCTCTGATGTCATCCACAAGGCCACCATATCGCCGTGGCCCGGTGAACACACACACACACACACACGCCATTTATTTCCCATCATGCTCTGGGAGCATGATGGGAAATAAAGTCTGTACACACAGTTATGTAATCATGATGTTTCCTCTTTGGGTCACCTGAACGCCTCTCTGTGGTTTCTCCTGCTGCGGTGCGTTCAGGGACGACTCTGAACCTGCTGAAGTTTCCCATCATCAACCCGACTCCGTACAGGATGTTCAAGAGGCAGGAGCGCCTGAACGCCACGTCGAGACAGACGGAGAGCGAGCTGTCAGAGGACGAGCGGAAGACACTGAGACACTTCAGCAAGCAGGGATACCTCGTGGGTGAGACGGGGGAGACGAAGGGGCGGTTTGATGACATTAATTTGAAACCATCAATGAATCTTAACCTCACCTGTCTCTCTGTCCATCTGTCCATCTGTTCATCTGTCCATCTGTCCACCTGTCCATCTGTTCATCTGTCCATCTGTCCACCTGTCCAGGTCGTGTTGGCAGGACGTTCCGGTCTGACATCAGATCCAGAGACGATGAGATCGAGTTTGATCCCGACAGTTTGGCTTTTGGAGAAAATGATGACGGAGACATGACGACAGGTGAGGACACTGAGAGGGACATCTGATTGGATGAATGATCTCTGATGTCATCAGGGAGATGAGGCTCATTAGCATATTTTTAATTTATTGCTTAAAATATATTTTTATTAGGAAGTTTTTTCTCTTAAAGGGACAGTTCAGATTTATTTGTCCACAGTCAGTGTGTTACAGACAGCAGGTGTTAGTCAGCAGGAAAGAGTCTGACATGGAGCTCAGCGATGTCCTGTTAATGTTTCTGTCTTTGACCTCTGTGTGACCTTTGACCTCTGTGTGACCTTCCAGCTCCTGGCAGGTCAGCTGATGAGTTCACCTTCAACGAGCTGAAAGACGCTCACTGGCTGTTCGACACTCCGGGAATCATCAAGGAACACGATGTGAGACTCTGAGACTGTTACTGTGATGATGTCAGACCACCTCAACGGCCAATCAACTGTCAGCTCTCATGTTTGTCCCTCCCCCCGTCTCTCTGTCTGTCTCTCAGATCCTCGGCCTGTTGACAGAACAGGAAGTGATGTCAGTGGTTCCCTCTCAGGCCGTGGTCCCCCGGACGTTTGTGTTGAAGCCCAGTATGAGTCTGTTTGTGGGAGCTCTGGCCAGGATCGACTTCCTGCAGGTCACTACACTAATGACAACAACAACATAATAATAATAATCATAATACATAATAATACATTATTTATGTTATTTCCTCTTTGTGTTTCTAATCTGTGTCCCAGTGTTTGTCGTCAGCTGTTGTGTCTTTACGACGTATTTAAAATTTATTGTTTTATTATTTAATATTATTTATTAATTTATTTCCAGGCTGAAAAAATTAATGTAATTTTTTATTTATTTAATATTAATATAAATGTAAGTTTGTTTTCTTAAAACACAGCTGTTACTGATCAGCTGTTATTGATCGGTTATCATTGATCTGGTGTCCACAGGGGGGGAAGTCGTGCTGGTTCTCGGTGGTGGCCTCCAGTCGTGTCCCAGTTCACATCACCAGTTTGGAGAAAGCCGACAGCATCTATGAGAAACATGCGGGACACGTCCTGTTGGGGGTGAGACACACCTGTCCTGAGGACGTTTAAAGTTTTACCATCACACTTTAGATGAAACCACGCCCACTTTGCTGAGTGGGCAGGGAGTCAGGATGTTGGTCCGACCACTGAAGGTCCGTCTCTAGGAAAATAACAATACGGATAGTTAAAGGGAAACTTTGCTGATTGTTAACAGCTCTGTGTCGTCACAGTGTGTGCGGGGAAAGTCCTGAGGACGCTCGCCGCGCCTTTCGTCTGCACACACTGCAGTGACGGAGCTGGTTGAAAACTCGAGTTCAACCAGCGACTGTTTGAAACAACAGATAAACAGAGAGGCGTCGAAACCCAAAGTCCTGCCTGTGAGGACGAGAGGGGGGAGAGTTCCTCGGGTTAAAAGCCTCTGATGAGCTCAACCTGCGTCGTTTCACAGAGCGCCAAGTGAGCCAGGTGACCGTTGGGCCTCAACATGTGGCAGCCTGCTTTTGTCATACGGCAGTGGGCGTGGTTTCATCTAAAGTGGGCTGGAGAAACGACAGACAAATCCTGAGGTCACCTGATGACAGTCAGCTGTCTCTATGACATCATGCTGATGTGTGTGTGTGTGTGTGTGTGTGTGTGTGTGTGTGTGTGTGTGTGTGCTGCGTTCAGGTTCCTCAGGGAGGGTCGGAGCGTATGAAGCAGTTCCCAGCGTTGGTTCCTCAGGAGTTCAGATTGGAGGGTCGAGGTTACCTGGAGGCCGCCGCTGACGTCAAGCTGTCGTCTGCAGGTAAACAACACCTGACATGTATCAGCTGAGTGTCACCGTGACAACAGATGATGTTGCAGAGCTGATGATGCAAACATGACATCACTCATCACAGAATTCTGATGAAACTTCGCATCAATATTTTTATAAACAAACATTATAAATACATAAATAACACAGTCGTCCTGGAACTAACAGGAGCTGCTGTCTGTCTCTCTGTTTCTGTCTGTCCGTCTGTCCTCAGGTTGGGTGGCGGTGACGGCGCCAGCAGATGATCAGGTGGTGTTGAGGGTTCACGGCCCGGCGGCGGCAGGTTTCAGTCTGAGGACGCCGCCTCTTCTTCCTCACATCGTGTCCCTGAAAGGAGAACGCATCAAAAAGTCCGCCGCCTACAAACCCATGAAACCTGAGGGGCTGGTGGACGGAGGACTGTCAGCCCGCAGCGCAGAGAGGCTGCAGGTAAAGAAGAAAAAGAAGAAGAAATGAACTCCAGCACCTGCAGACTGAGGGACGCTGTGGTTTCCATGGTGATGATTGTTCACACTGCAGAGGACGTTCTTCTGCGCTGGAGAAACTTTTAGGGTGCGTTTGGAAATACTCGCCCTGAGTACTGGAGCTTTTTCTGGCTCAAATGGGAGCGTTGTTGGGAGTGTCCTGTTCAGTTATTCAGAGCACCACACACTCAGAGCAGCAGAGCGCCGAGCAGAGTGAACGTGTGATTCATTAATTCACGTAGAAATAAAACGCTCAGTTTCTTCAAACATCAGCGCTCTCATTTCAGCATCAGACTGGATTTATGAACTCAGTCTGCGGCAAAGGACTTAATGGATGTAATAATCGTGATGTCACTCTTGAGGGGTTGTCACTTCCTGTGTTCTGGATCTTTGACTCAGTCGGATCATGATGTCAATAATATTTGGATTGTTTGTGCAGCGCTTCATTATAAATGTGTTTTAGTTTCTTTTGTAAAGACTGGTTTATATGTTTGTACGCTGTGCCACAAGGGGGCAGTACACATCCTGCTGAGAAAACTAATGTGCATGTTTTTGTGCACGTCTACGTCTTCTGTGGTTATATATCAGTCTCTGCTTGTGTTTGTTGTTTTTTAAATTTGAGTTCTGGATTTTTTCAATAACACAGAAACAAAAACAACCTCACTGAGTTTAAAAATCTTTATTTAAAAAAAAGCAGATAAAATATGATGAAGATTAAACTGAATGTGTCGATGAATCAAACCTCAGAGTTAAACAGACAGTTACATTATGAACAGTTATTAATATGAGAGATTCTTATTAATGTTTCCATCAGTTCAGTCAGAGGAAGAATTTTCTCATCCTGTTAATATCGACAACAGGAAGTCTTTTATTCAGCTTATAGGATAAAGATGGTGTTATTTTATCTTCATTAATAACTGACAGCTCCTGTTGTGGAGTTTTAATGTTTATGGAGAGATGATATTTGTTAAATTCAAAGTTGGTTTCGGAGCTGAAATAGTTTGACATGATCAGTAAACTTCGGGATGTTTGAGAACATGATGAATTAATTAATCTTTAACATGATGGATGGATGAGTGAGAATAATGTGATGACAGGAAGTTAACACCAGTTTATCCTTTAATGTGACGGCCGTTTACAGAAACATGAATATACAGTTTGATATCACACACAGAGGACAGAGGGCGGCCGCCTCCACGTGTCACTGTGATGAGAATAAAACATTTACAACTGAAGAAGTCTCGTCACGTTAAACTTCATCAGGATCTGAACTTACAATGTTTGTTTCCGTCATTTCAAACTTTCACGTGTTAGAAACAGATCAGAGATCAGTGACGACAGGAAGTTAAACATGTACAGAAGAGCTCGGCGTTGACTTTGGCTTCTCGACTAAAGGAATATTGCACTGAGTTATTTACAGGGGAGCGTCTCTTCAGAGCAGGTTCAGGTGAAGTTCAGACTCAGGATGTTTCTACACGTGGAACACACAACATATAATAATCTCTGATATACGACAATAAGCGGTGTGATTTTCTTTAACCAATCAGAGCTCAGTTTAGTTCAGTGTCCCTGTTTCATAAAAAGATGACAAATATTCACAAGTTAAAGAAAAAACAGTGTGTGGTGAGAAAAAAATCAGACTTGAACCGTCCGTCTAAAAACAGAATACAAAGAAGAAGAAAAGTTCAAAGTGACTGTACAGAGTTGATTGTCAAAGGCACTCCATGTTTTTAAAAATGAAAAAATCCACTTTATCATAGACACAAAACTCAGCTACATACAGAATATTACAGCGAGCCCAGCGGTGTGTAACAGACAGATGTTACCATGGCAACTGTCATCCCAACATCAATCACTGAAAGACAAAAGTCTGATTTCTGAAATGATCCAAACTCATTTGTAGAGACGATGGAAACTAGTGAAGCTGCTGCAGATGAAACATGATCTGATGTCATTAAGAAAATCCTCCACCTCAGGGACTGTTCTTTATTTATGAGGTGAAGGTGCAGTGGTGCAAAAAAAGGGGGCGTGTCAAAGAATTTCAAATAATAATAATAATAATAATAATAAAAAAAAAACACTGGGGATGGACTTGTTTTAATTTTTGGCTTGGGAGGGGCATCAGCTTTACATGTCTGTATTTTCATTTATTTTTATGATTTTTAAAGAAAACTTGCAAAAAAATGTCTTTCAAAATAAATACAAATAAAGATAAAAAAGAAAAATAAGGAAATAAAACAAAACAGAAAATATGGAAAATATATATATAAAAAAAGAACAATAAGAAAACATGAAAAAATAAAACATGCCTTTCAAAATCTAAAAATAAAAGAAACAAGCATGTTTTCTTTAAAAATCACCAAAATTCCAACATTTATCAGCCAGAAGCTGTTAAAACAGAAATTATTATTGGATTTTTTTGGTCCGAAAATAACCAAACCAAATCTGATCTTAAAATTTTGACGGTTCATCAAAATCCCGTTAGGCTGCGTCTCATTTAAAATTTGGCCAAAAATAAACTGTTTACACAAGAGTGAAAAACTGAGGCCTTTTTTTTTTTAAACTCCTTTTTAACTCATTCATGTTGGAGGCAGCTTCAGGGAGGGTCACACTGCAGTCACACCCCTCTTCTGACAAATACAGAACAGTCCCTAAGCTTAAACAAATACAATGTGTGTAGAATCAAAGTTCATCTTGACATTTAGTGACTCCTCTCTGAGCTCTAATGTCTGTCAGGCGGTACGCAGGGCTCCAATCCCCCGACATGACCCTGCACCGACCTGAGGCCTCTGTGCGAACCGTTCTCTGGATGGACACCAGGTGGCAGCGTGACGACAGACAGTTTTTAAATGTAAAATAGAACTCACCAGAATGTCTCATCAGAGGAGGGTTGACCATGTTAAACAGAGCGCGGCTGCGTAGACTCCTCCCACCAGACCTACAGTGAGTTTATATGAGCAGTCTGTGTGTTAATATTTATAACCATGTGACAAAGGGTTAATAACGTCCAGCTAACTGGGACAAACTGGTGTTTCCTGTCCGCTCAGTTTTGTTTCAGAGCACCAGAATCCAAAGTTTCAAATGATGACACGTCTACGCCTGTTGCCATGGATGCAGAGTCTCACTTATGTGCTTTGGCAATGTTGTCCATGTAATAGACGTTGACGAGGTGGCGGTTCAGGTGGCGCCGGTATTCCACCTCCAGAGGGAACGTACGGTCGCAGAAGATGCACAGGTGACTCTTCAGCTCTGTCGGTGTTGGGATCTCGTCAGTGGGTGTTTCGGGGTCATTGGCCATCTTGCCCGAGCCAGCGCCGTTGCCATTGAGGCCAGAGTCATCGCTGCCCTCAGAGGCGCTGTCGCTGATGTCACTTCCTCCTTCGTGGCTGCTGTGGATGCCCTCATCGTCCTCTGGATCAGCAGATTTGCTTCGCTGGCCTGGGAGCACCAGAGGCGGCGGTGATGTCGGTTTGAGGAACGTCGGAGCGGGGCGGTCTGCGGCTGGAGAGGGCGTTTCCTCACCTGAGCTGCAGGAGGGTGAAACCTCCATCTTCTCTGAGGGTTTGTCCAAAGTCTTGTCTGTTTGAGTGGTTTCATCAGCAGAGGCTTTGCTCGCTGCAAAGCTGTTTCCTGTCGGGTGGTCGTCAGATGGCGTGGTTGGTGTCGTGGTGTCTGGCTGAGCGGATGCTTCCAGAGCATCTGTGGTCGGACAGACGACTGAAGTCTGCTTGTCTTTCTCAGGTTCCACAGTCTGCTGAAGGCCTGAAGCTTTCTTACTGGTGCTCCTGTTCTTCTTCTGCCTCACTGGAGTCGTCCTGTTGGACCTCTGTGGAGTAGGAGGGGCTTCATTAGTCTTCTTCGTGCCTTCTACAACAGGCTTCTCCTGCAGCTTCTCGGCAGCACTGGATTTCAGCCGTCTGGCTTTGGGCGGAGTCTCAGATGAGGACTTTTTGGACAGATCGAGAGCCTCCACAGCTTTCCTCTTCGCAGCCTTTTCTCTGACCACCTTCTCCTTCTGAGTCTTCTCGGGACTGTCCACCTTCTGCGGAGCATCTTTGACATGTTCTGTTGTTTTCTCAGATTTCTTTGACGGGGACCTCTTTGGCTTGTTGAGACTTTTGTTCTCCTTCACACTGCCTTCATTCTTCTGATCTTCTTTCTCCTTGTCAACCTTTAACTTTTCTCCTACCTTCTCCACTTCCTGTCTCACAACTCTCTCCTCCTCAGGTCTCTGATCAGACTTGTCTGTCCTCGTTTGGGATTTTTCTGAGTTCGTCACTGCCTCCTGGTTCTGGGCTGTTTTTTCTGCTGGCAGTTTCCTGACTCGTCTCTTCATCTTGTTGTCTGTGTTTACAGCGACTGTTGTTGGCTCCTTCTCTGGAGGACTCTCATTGACCTTCTCGCTCCTCCTCTGCCTGCTTGTGACCTTTTTCTCTGGCTCCGCCTTCTCCTTTGTTTTTTGTACTTTCTCTTTCTCTGCAGTGATGGTGGATTTCTTCTGCGTCTTGTCAGGTGCTTCACTCTGCACTGGTTGGGCGGCATCAGGCTGGCTGCTCTCTCTGATTGACAGATTGATGGGACTCGAGTTCGCACCCTCATCCTCGTCCGCAGCATCCTCGTCCATGTCAAATTCCTCCTCCATGCTGGATGAGTTGTCAAACTTGGTTGCTCTGGGGTCTGTGTTTTCCTCTGTGCCATCGAGACCGGGCTTCTTGATGCGCAGTTTGACCTTGGAGATGTCCACGGGGACGTTGCAGCCGGCGTGCCTGGACTTGAGGTGGTACTGCAGGTTGCATTTCTTGGAGGCGGCGTACTTGCAGAGAGGGCAGAGAAACTGGCGAGGATTGAGGTGGAGTTCGACATGCTTCTTGAAGTTGCTGCGGTCGGCAGTCTTGTACTCGCAGTAGGGGCAGGACAGAGGTTTGGGGCCATTGTGGACCTGCCGGGCGTGGCGGGTCACCTCATGCTGATTGGCTGCCAGGTAGTTACAACTCTCACACTTGAAGGGGCGCTCACCTGCACACACGAAGGACAGAGTCAATACTGCAGCAATGACAGATGAGACAGGTAAGATGGGTTTCATGCAGCAGGTGGTCTCTTATCAAACAGGACAGGTCATGCAGGAAATTTCACGCCCGCACTGGAACAGATCAGCCTGGAAACACTTCCTGTGTCAAACAGCGTTCACACACTTTGTGTTTCCAGACGGAGCTGCTTCAGTGTCAGACGGGTACAACACAACACAGGAGGGCACATCACAGCTTGTACTTCTACTGCACATCACTTTACCATGTTGATCCGACATCGATGGCTTCAGTGAGAACAAACACAAACATGTTGACAGTCAGAGACACGAGAAGAATAAATCCTGTTTCTACAGACAGTAAAAATACTCTGCTGCTAGTTTACTGTCTGTTGTATCTCCGAGTATCTCAAGTTTTCCTCTGCTAACAGACGTGTGACAGAGTTCAGAGTGGACGACTGACCTGAGTGAGTTCTCATGTGTCGGGTCAGGTGGGTCTTCTGAGAGCTGGAGTAGTCACAGTACGGACACTGGAAAGGACGGACACCTGTACAACATAGGGAACATTATGTAGGTGTCATCATCTGGATCAAGACTTTAAACCCTGTCTAGTTTTAGATTTTTATCGACAGACAGACACAGATTGAAGTTTGTCCCACCTGTGTGTGTCCTGATGTGTTGGATGTAGTTGCTCTTGCGGTCAGAGAAGTAGGAGCACTCGTTGCAAGTGTGCAGTTTGCTGGGGAAGTGATTCCTCAGGTGTTTCCTCCAGTGGTACTGACTGACGGTGGTGTACGGACACAGAGTGCACTTAAACACCCTGCAGAGACACAAAGCAGATCCATCAGGTTACTTCAAACTTTCTCATTGTCATTTTCAGTTTGAAGGACAGGGTCATATAAATTCCATCATAATCTACTATAAACTATCGCTCTAATTTTCAGTTTTTAACGATAATAATAAATATTTAACAGCACTTTATTTTCCTTTTTTTAAATAACTAACATACAGAAGAAGCGTATAGAGATTTTGGCAGGAGTATAGTGCTTTTTGTTTGAGTAACGTGACATATGTGCACACTGAACTTTGACCATGAAATTCAAATTGTTTATTCTTCAGTCCAAGTGAACATTTTTGCCAAATTTGAAGAATTTCCCTCAAGCTGTTCTTGAGATATTGTGATCTCGAGAATAAGATGGACACAAGGTCAAAGCAACGTTGACCTTGTGTCCATCAAAATATAATCAGTTCATCCTCGAGTCCAAGTGAACATTTGTGCCAAATTTGAAGAAATTCCTTCGATGTCTTATTGAGATATCGTAATCACAGGCACGGGATGGAGGACGTACAGATGGATGGACAACCTGAAACGAATGCCTCTGGTCACAGCTGTCGACGGCGCGGAGGCATAAAAATTCAGTCAATAACCCAAAACACTTGTTTAGCCTCTGGGTTCCATAATTACTTGAGGAACAGGAAACGGGTTGTAACGGCATGTGAGATGAGGTCACCCTTCCTGGTGATCAATAAAGGGGTTCCACAGGGGTCTGTACTGGGCCCTTTGTTATTTACTGTTGATAAAAATGATGACGCCAGGAAAATATAAAACTAATGTTAATTTCTATACTGATGACACAATTCTTTACTCCTCAGAACATACGAACAGACATTTTATATTTACAGGATGCTTTTGACATCATGCACAGATCACTGAGCAATACAACTAAGGCGGGAGTTATACTTCTGCATCAAATCGCCGTACATCAGGCTACACTGTAGGCTCTATGTCGACACAGAGCCTATGGCGTAGCCTGACGTGCAGCTCCCCTGCACTTCACAGAAACCTCCGCTACCTACTAGTGTTTGGAGGTGTTACTGCAGGCTGACTCAGACACACCACCACACAAGTATAAATGCTCATAAGTTAGGTGATGATTAATCTTTCACGGCAAGTTACAAATTTGGCCACAAGATTAAACTCAATATTGTCTCCCTTCATAAAAATAAGTCCCGCCTCTCTGTGGACGGCAGGAAGAGGACTGTGCCGACTACGTCACTGATGACATACTTCATACTGCACACCTGTATCGTACAGTTGGTTTTGTCTGGGTTTACAGAGGACACAGCATTATTAACACAGAAAGCTTTACCTGCAGGTTCACCTGTGTGTTTCTCACCTGTGGTCGCTGCCCTCCCTGCTGTGGTGCTTCAGGTGAGCGATGTAATGGTCGTATCTGTTGGTGTTGTAGCCGCACCGTTCACACCTGATCAGCCCTTTGATGTCACCCGTTGCCACTGCTGTGCCTGCGTCCCCACCATTCTCCGCCTCCCCACCTGACGGTGCCTGAGACTCGGTTGTCTCAGCCTCCTTGGCCCTGGTCCTGCTCCTGGCCTCCACCCGGTGCACCACCATCATTTTACTGACGCCATGAGTGCCGAGGTGTTCAACAAACTCCTGCTCGTTCTGAGCCTGGAATTGACATGGCTTACAGTAGAAGGGTTTCTTCTTCTTGGAGCTCTCCAGCACGGCTGCTGGGGCAGGGGCGTGTTTGCGTTGGACCTCCTCCACAGGTGTTTTGGTGGCGGCTGGGGGGCAGGGCTGGAGACAGAGCTCAAGACCTGTCCTATTGCACTCTTCTTCCTCCTGCAGGTGGTTCCCTACGATCACGGCCTGGATGGGCGGGCCGGGCGACTCAGGATACTCGATGATACACACCTCTCTGTGGTTCTGGTTATCATAGCTGTACCTGAACACACACACAGGTGAGTTAACACACACGTAACACCTTCATTGTAACTGGGAGCAGACTAACTCCTGACCTGACGACTGGGAGCAGACTAACTCCTGACCTGATGATGTTTTCCTCCTCGCTGTCCGAGTAGGTGCATCCCACAGTCTTCAGCTCCATCATCTCCTTCTCGTCTGCAGCGCTGCCGTCTCCGCCGCCGCCCTCTGCTGCTGTAACTGCCGCCACGTTGGCCAGCATCACCAGCTGGGGGGCGGGGAGTGTGTTTCCAGGCATGTCACCCTGTACGTCTTCCATCACAGACACACCGACAGGATACATCCCCACTGAGAACACCGTCTGAGCGGCCATGTTGAGTTCAGCTCTTCACCTCCGCGGGGATGAGAAGCTGAGGATGATCACAGAATAAAAAGGCGATGTAGTGGCAAACGTCTGATTTTAAGTCCTGACATAGTCGTCCAGTCAGTCTGAGGTTTGACCCAGAGAAAACTGTAGTCGTACATATTAAAACATATTAAAATATACCATTATAAACTCTGTGGATCAATGTAAATTCAGGGCTCACACAGAGACGTGCACATCTCTGCTTCTACACATGATATTTTAATGTGACTTGAGCCTAAACATCAGTGTTCTAGGATTTTCTTTCACATATAACCATCAGATATTATCTGTTCTGAGTGTACACGTGCAGTTAGGGGGTTCCTAATCTGGTTGTGGTTTTTTCTGATGGAAACTCATGAAGGTCCAAAGACCAAAATCTGAAATCCAATAATAATTTCTGTTTTTACAGTTTATGGCTGTAATACAGTAAAACACACGTTTTCATTATTTTTTGCATGTTTTTTTCCTTCTTTATTTGATTTATTTGTCTTTATTTTGGAGGGCATGTTTTCTTTATTTATTTTGCACGTTATCTTTTTTTATTTTTCATCATTTCTTCTTTTTTTGCATGTTTTCTATTTTATTTTATGTTTATTTTCTTTGTATCTGTATTCACTTTTAGTTATTTTGGAGGGCATGTTTTCTTCAGTTTTTTTTTTTTGCATGTTTCTCTTTTATATTCAAAGTAAAACATGCTTTCCAAACCTGGCTGCATGTTTTCTTTAAAAATCTAAAATAATTACAAATTACAACCATCTAAAGTTGCATGCCCCTCCCCTGAGCCAAAAAACCTCCCCAGTGCTTAAAAACTTATTTGACATGCCTCCCTCCTTTTGCACCACGCCCTACCCCCTCATAAATTACGAACAGTCCCTAAACACTCGAGTACAAGTGCATTAAAATTGTACTAAAGTACCTTGTATATGTGTGTGTATGTGTGTGTGTGTAAGTATGTGACAGGACACAGTTTTCAGTGAATGTGTCTGTCGGCCATTTTGAAACAGCACCACAGCTCAGTCGACAGCGCCATAAGGAGGAAAAAAACACGTTCAAAACCTCCTTTGAAAAACACGAGATTTAACTCACTGCGCTGAGGAGGCTGTCAGCGGTCTGACAAAGATTTGTAGTTTTACAGTGGAAACAAAAAGATATGATGATAGTTTCTAAAAGTCAAAAGACACAAAAAGGGACCTGATGTTTCACTGAGAATATAACAAGGTACAAAACCCTCACAGGAGCCAGATCACAACAGCCTATGTGATTAAATCTTAAATATAGTGGAAGTTGAATGGACTTTGGTACGAGGAGACTAAAAGTTAAGATATTGAAAAATAAAGTTGTTTAAATATCTTTTTTAAAAATCCGCTTTATCTCGGAGCAGGTGTTAAAACTTTGAGACTCTTTAAATCTGATGTCAGTTGAAGATTAAAAAGTGAAAGTCTGATAATGAACACGTGGTTTAAAAAAGGATTAAAACATCACTCCGGGACATTTTACTTATAAACTCTGACTCACGGTGACACAGCTGCAGAAACACGTGTTCACATACTCAGAGTTAAATATGTAAATGTAAGTGTGGCTGATAAAGTCTGTATGTGATTTACAGCGACCATTTCAGGCTCAGAAAACTTAGTTTGCGGAAGCGCAGAGCTCCATTTACAAACAGCGACATTTTGATTTAGATATTTAAAGTTAATATAAAGTGTTGGAGGAGTTTTTGAGGCGGTGAAGTTAAAGTAAAGTGAAGGATTGATGTGTTTGGAGACTATCGGCGGTGTCGGAGTGTTAGCCATGGTCCTGATCAGCCCCGGACAGCGCCTTCTTCACCGACTCACCGCCTCCATTTTCCTCCAAACTGCCAACAACTTTCCAGCTGCTCCGCTCCGACTAACCGCCGCCCAGCAGCTCCTCTGCCGGGCCGACACCGAGCACCGAGCAGCGGGGAAACTCACCGGCTCCTCGGGTCCAAACTTTGCGCTACTTTTCTTCACTTGTTTCCAGTTTTTGCGGGTTTTTCTTCGACGATCGGCGCAGAAAGAAAAGTGAACAAGAAGTTTCCGCACATTCCTCCACACTGACGTACAGCTGTGACGTCAGCACGTCGCTCTGGCGGTGAGCTGGAGGTTGAGCAGTGAAATACGTCACCTGGTACATCTGGTCTGTAGAGACTAATACAGCTGTTATTGATATGAATACAGCACTTATTATCACTTTTATTTAAATCATATCTGTTCTAAAGACTATTACAGCTGCTACTGATATTATCACATCACTTATTTAGATTATTATAATGAATGACATCTGTTTACAGCTGCTATTATGACTATATCATTTATTTAGACTTATGCTTAAATTACTTCTGTTATAGAGACTATAACAACTGTTATTAATATCACTACATAATTGATCAAGGTTATACAGACGTATATGTACACATACATCATACATCAATTTCAGTTCAATTTTATTTATAAAGCCCAATATCACAAATCACAATTTGCCTCACAGGGCTTTACAGCATACGACATCCCTCTGTCCTTATGACCCTCACAGCTGATCAGGAAAAACTCCCCAAAAAAACCCTTTAACGGGGAAAAAAACAGTAGAAACCTCAGGAAGAGCAACTGAGGAGGGATCCCTCTTCCAGGACGGACAGACGTGCAATAGATGTCGTACAGAACAGATCAACATAATAAATTAACAGTAATCCGTATGACACAATGAGACAGAGAGAGAGAGAGAGAGAGAGAGAGAGAGAGATGCAGGTAATGACAGTAGCTTACAACAACATTAATGAAAGTAATAATATTATAGTTATAGTTCTGGCTACTGTGGTACAATATGTTGAAAGTATGTATTAATATCTGACAGTATACATGTGTGACAATAGTCATATGTGTATAATAACAGTAGAAGTATGACTAATGACTAATGATGGCAGCAGCAGCAGGAGGCATCTGGCAGGACCACGGCAGCAGCACAACCACACACGTCACGCTTTCCAGGCACCGCTGTGATATGAGTTAATCTGAGAGACAGTGGAGCATTGACAGTGTAAGGATTCAGACTCTATTTCTTTCATTTTAGATTTAAAAGCAGTCAAAGTAATAAGATTATGAAGTTTTAACACATTCTGCAGTATATATATATCATATATAGAGTAAATAGGATTGGTCCGAGCACAGAACCTTGCGGAACTCCAAAACAAACTTTAGTACGTAAGGATGATTCATTATGAACGTCAACAAACTGAAAACGATCAGATAAATAAGATTTAAACCAGCTTAGTGCTGAACCTTTTAGGCCAATTAAGTGATCCAGTCTCTGCAGTAGAATTTGATGGTCAATAGTGTCAAACGCCGCACTAAGATCTAATAAAACAAGTACAGAGACAAGTCCTTTGTCTGAAGCAATCAGAAGGTCATTTGTAATTTTAACTAGTGCTGTCTCAGTGCTATGATGCTCTCTAAATCCTGACTGAAATTCCTCAAATAAATTATTATCATGGAGAAAATCACACAGCTGGTCTGCGACTACTTTCTCAAGGATCTTTGACATAAAGGGAAGATTAGATATTGGTCTATAGTTAACATTAAACATCTGTTTTAAGATTAATACTTATACTTGAATTACATCATCTGTTATTAAGATTATTTCTGTACGAATAATTTAAAGTTTGTCCGTGACTGTTCGTTGTGATCAGTGATGTTTCTTGTGACTGACACTGTTGAAGGAAACTGGTCCAAACAAACAACCAGACTCGTGACAGCTGAAAGACTGATGGCAATTATATGTAAGAACACAGATCTGTTAAGAGAGGAACTTCAGACACTCCTGGAGACGATCTCCATCTAATGACTCTGACGCTTATAATAAGGAACAGCTGTAGGTCACACTGAACACAGTTAGTTAGTTAAATACCTTCCACAGAATCTGGAGACAGACACCTGAAGCAATGTCAGGTCCATGTTTTTGTCCCTACTCTGGTGGATAGATGGTTTAAACTGCACTTTATTTATCCTCATCTCACTATGCTACATGATCCCTTTGTTAAAGTTTATTTTAATTTTTTGTACCTTCCTTTTGGCCCTGTTCCCCTCCTGTAGGAGTCTTTACTGGTTTAAGAGTTACACATGTTTCTGTTTTCTGTCTGTTGAGAAAAGTGATCACATCTGTGTCGGCACCACTTTATGATTTATGAGGACATTTCATTCAATAATTTGACCCATCGATTCATCCTTTCATAAAACATGAAACTAACTTTATCTCCAGTCTCTGACTTGTGACAGACTCAGGCTCCAGTAAACATCAGCTGCGGTCAGACGGGACTGATATAAACTGCTCTCCAGTTTACATCAGAGATCAGAGTGAGATTATCAAACAGGCCTGACAGGCACAGGGGCCCAAAGTATCAGGGCCCCGTGGCCCTCACCTATAAAATGTCACTCAAATAAACAAGTAAGCTGCTGACCAAGAGGCGACTCAAGAGAATCAGAATCAGAATCAGAAATACTTTATTGATCCCAGAGGGGAAATTATTTGCGTTACAGGTGCTCCTTGCAAGAGAGGAAAGATAAGTGAAAATATAAGAAATCTAAAAGGATTATTTACAAATATATAGTTCAAATAAACAGGATTATTAACAGAAAATAAATAAATATATATAGAGGAGACACAAGGAGACACGAGATGATGAGGAAACTACAAAAAAAAAAAAGACTACAAAACGTCAAAGTCTGTGTGTGTTGCTTTTGGGGCCCTCTGCACATTTGTGTCCAGGGGCCCATTGTCTCATAATCTGCACATGCTGACGTGTATGTGTGTGTGTGTGTGTGTGTGTGTGTGTGTTGCATATTTATATATAAGAGTGTTGAGACACAAAACAACCACACCAGATGCAAAATGAATGAAACATACATAAACCTACATAAAACTGTATAAACTCATCAATCTCAGTGGAAACACCACAGACACAGACTGGTTTGGGGGTTGTTTTTGCACTGGGTGGAGCTCACACACACACACACACACACACACACACACACAATAGAATACAGGTTACTGAAGGTCAAACATGTGACGACACACTTTATTATCTGTGAGATGTTGATCACGGTCGCCCGTGACAACCAGACTTCACCTTGACTTCCTATCATGAACCCTCTGATGCAGAGCAGCTACACACACACCACCAGCTTTACAACAGACAATAAGTTAATGTGTCTCTGAATTAATCAACACCAGATACAAAGTCTTCATCAGAGTCTGATCAGCTCATCTGTCTCATGTTAGCGTCTCCAAACTGCTGAAGACAAAAAAGTTGACGCCTCAGAAACAACAGAACTAAATAAAACAAGAATAAACAGATTAAAGAAATAATAGGAATTAAAACAAACAAACAAAAACGGAAGTTATGAAAAGATGAAAGAAGTTTGTCAGCTGGTTGTAATTACATCTTTATTTTATTTAACCACATGGGGGCGTCTCTGCTTCACTACAGCATCGCCACGCGCGCGTGTGTGTGTGTGTGTGTGTGTGTGTGTGTGTGTGTGTGTGTGTGTGTGTGTGTGTGTTTTTCTGACTAACTTTGAGGTTTATCTATTTATTTATTTCTAATACAAAGTTTATTGGCTTTTTTTGTTCATTTTGAATAAAGAGAACAAACACTCCCCAACAACACAAAAAACAACTTAATAAACATCAGAGCAATAAAAACTCAAAAAGAAGGAAAGAGAAAGAAAGAAATCACACACAGGCAGAAACATTTCAACAGAGAGAGAGTAATAATAATAATAATAATGATAATAATAACAATAATAATAATGATAATGAGTTTTAATCATCAGAGTGTGACTATGATCCGACCTGATCACAGTACTGTAAGTTTATATTACTTATTCTTACTCCTACTGTACATATTGTGTTGTACATTGCAGCGTTATATACACGTTTTTATATTCATAACTTTACATGCTAGTTTTATACATTATAATGTAAAATAAGGCAGATTTTTATATTTTTTACACATTTTATTCAACACATTACATATTTTATATTTCTAAATAATTTACATACTACTGTTAACAACATTATGACATACTGCAGATATTTTATTTTTACATACTTAGTACTTTATACTACTCTCCATAATTCTCTACATTTTACTGTAGAGGTACTGTTACACTTGATAGAAATCAATGTCATATTTCTGATTTTAATTTATTTATTTTGATTTAATTAAATGTATCTATTTTTAATTTACCTAATTTAATTCAATTTGATTTCATTTTAAATTTTATTTTATTTTATTTTTTGTTGTATTCATTCTTACATTTATTTAACTTATTTTTGAGCCCTATCAGAAGTGACCTGTTGACCTGTGGAAAATCAGAGATGAATAAATGATTAACAAACACTGATCGATGATTCATGAACTTTATGATGTTTGTCGTCACAGATTGACACATGAAGCAGCCACGCCCCTTCCTCGTGCCACTCGAAGCTGTTTCAAACTCACCTTCAAATTGTACGGAAATACACCGGAAGTGCGGTGCGTCTGCCTACAAAATAAAAGCACAGTGAAGCCACAGGACTGTAAGTGAAGAACATTAAAAGGAAGAAGCAGAACTCATCAGATTCAATATGAAGTTATGTGTTTATACTTTCTTTTCGCTGCTACATGCAAAAAACTTTAACTGTTTCACTTCATTTTATTTCATGTTGCTGCACATCACCGTCTCAGTTTAGATTAAATCAACAATTTATAAAAAGAAGAAGTAAAGGAAGGTCAGAATCCAAATTAAAGTTATTAAACTCAATATTCTCATCAATGAAACATGTTTCTTATATTACAGATAAACAGTTTTCTTTTTACAAAAGAATTGGATTTTGTTTCTGAACATTTTATTTGATCTGAAGTGAAACAGATTAATAAAACATGACGCAGCTGTTTGACTGATAATATTGTATAAATATATTCAGGTTCAAGCTCATCGTTGGCCAACAGGAGGAAACAATGATTCTTCTTGTATTTTTAAAGATACCAACTGTAAAACATAGTTTATTATTACTGAAAATTTAAGATTCAAAAACTGTAAATTGTCAAAAACTTTTAGGTCATCGAGACGTTTCACTTTTATTCCTTCTGTTTAAACCCTGAAGGTTGTAATGGTTTGTAATGTTTCTCTCTTTCCCCCCACATTTTACTTATTTGTTGTGAAATGTTTGGGGTTTTTTACATTATTTTTATATTATCAAATATGTTTTCTTCAACTTTTATAATGAAAATCTGGAATGTTAAACATACAACAAACAACAAACTGAGCACAACAGCTGCTCAAATAAATTCCTAAAAGAAGCCAAATGGTTTGTTTCTAATAATGTGCAATATGGCCTACCTAAAAAGGTGTAAAAAAAAAAAANTGAAAATGAAAGCTCTATAGTAAGTTTTCTTCAGGATGTACCGTGAACAGTGAAGTCTGTTCTCAGTAAAACTATCAACATGACAGCAAGCACGCCAAAAGTAGTTATTAAAAATGACCAGCAGGTGTCGCACTGCATCAAAGTTGTCATCAAAAATACAAATATGAATGAATAGGCCTATGTTGACAGCCAGATGGGAAAAAACTGATATACATCTATGGAAAGGCATTTACTATAGGCTACTATCAGTTAGAGTTAAGCTGTCACTGGACTTTCCCCTCAGTTGTGGTCACATGGAGACACTTGATAATAATAATAATAATAATAATAATAATTGTTTTTTTATGTTGAAGTTTGTGCTTACTTGTCACATCATTTTCATTTATAGTGTATGATCATTACTTTGTGTGCAAACTGAATGAACCACCAGATACACGGTGTGAAACTGTTGGTACAATATAATAAAATAAATAGAAACAAATAAATAAATAAACTCAGCGATCACAGGTTTTATTTTGAAAAGGCACAGCGGAAGTGCACCGGTTGATTTCCTGAGCTCGACACTGTCGGTGTCCTCAGTGGAGTCTCGACTTTCTCGTCCCGTTACTTCTTAACATCTGAGTCAGAAACCAGCAGCGCTCATTAGTTTTAGTTAAAACTTAGTTTATAAGTTATTTTATTTTATCTGGAGACCTTTAATCTTTTAGCAGCCGGTGTTTTACAGACCCAGGTAACGGAGACACGAAGTTCCTGCGCTGCTAACTCCCGGTAGCAGTTAGCGTTAACAGTTAACGTCACTTTAAAAGTGAAGGCACGGAAAGCTAATTGAAGCTAACTGCTATCTGACGGTGACCGAGCTCAGACCGTTAACGTCGCGTTGTTTCGTTATTCGGCTTTTGTTTTAAAGAAACTTCCGGCTGTAGTTTAACGGAATCGCGGTGTTTAAAAGTTTGAAAGTTTCCGGTGAAGTTGAGTGAAAATGGAGCCCGAGAGCTAACAGTCAGTCCGCGGGGAACCAGGACCCGGGGCCGCAGCCTCTCTCTTCCGCCTTCTTCCTCATAGTTTGACACATCATTAATCTCCCGTCGGCGGAGCCGTGAGTCAGGATGGCCGCAGACTCCACCGGGAACTTCTCCCTCCTCCACCGGACCTGTAAGCTGGTGGTCCTGCTCTGTTTCCTCCACATCTCCGTCACTCTCGTCTTCTACGTCCGCTCCCTGGACATCCGGTTCGCCTTCGTCCAGAACCAGCAGTCCCGTAACGGCACCGCGCAGATAACCCAGGTCATAAACCCAGAGCTCAACCACGGACTCGATCTTAAGGAGGCCCAGACCCAGAAGCAGGTGACCGCGGAGGAGAAAGACGAGGCCAAACCCGACGAGCATCCACCGGAGGAGAAGAAGCTGGAGAGGTGCCCGGAGACGTCACCTCTGCTCGGTAAGACCTGCTCAGACCTCCCGCTGCTGCCTGTGGGTCATGAGTCATGTGTCAGAGTCCAACAGAGCCACAACACACTGTGATCTTTCTTTATCAATATGAGTCTAAGTGTTTTCTACAAGAACAATATAAAAGCCAAAAACTAACCAGCTCAGAGCAACAAACAGGAAGTCAGAGGCAACAGGTAAATCACAGGTGAGCTCAGGTTCAGGAAGCTCTCTGTGAAACAATGGCAGAAGAATCAGGTCCAGAATAATTCAGATAAAACCGTCGAGTCAACTTTACTGATGCAACACTTTAAACACAGAGTGCCCTGACAGCTCACAGGAAGTGAAGAACCGAAAGGAAAGAGAGAAACACAAAAGTCTGAGTGATAACGTGTTATTATACAGTTATTATCACACCTGTAGTGAGGTGTTTATTTACACAGCGTGACAGTCACATATGTGCAGTTAAAGCCTACAGAGTAAAAACATGTTTTAAGATGATTCATGAAAGTCTCATTGGTCGGGGAGAATCAGACGGCGGGAGGAAGAGTGGTCCAGAGTTTTGGGGCGGTGAAAGAGAACATCCTGTCCCCGTCACCCTTAGTGCTGGACCTGGGGACAGACAAAACCAGACTTTGTAAACCTGATCTACTGTGTAACGTGTTGGTGTTTTTGCGGATGTGTTTCTTATCTGCAGTATATTTTGTAAGTTTATATTTTCTGTATTTGTGGAAGGTGTTTTGTATCTTTATTGATTACACACCAACACACAGACTGTTCAACTCGATTAAATTTTATTTATAAAGCCCAATATCACAGATCACAGTTTGGCTCTTACAGCACAGGACATCCCTCTGTCTTTGGACCCTCACAGCTGGTCAGGAAAAACTCCCCAAAAAACCTTTAATGGGAAAAATGTCAGAAACCTCAGAGAGACAGTGAGGAGGGTTCAGTCGTTCACACAGATGATACTGACACAAGTGTGTCTCCGTACAGATTTAAGGTGTCGTCAGTCTGAGGTGTCGCAGCGAAGCAGCCACATCTGAACTGTGTCCTTTTATAAGTTTGACACTGAGGGCAGAGACACAAATAACATGCGATGACATCATCATCAGGTGTTCACTTCCTGTGTCACAGGTAGCTTTTCCTGGTTGTTCACATACTGCAGAGACCCTCGATCAGACGGACAGCAGTGATGAGCTGTCCTGTCTCTGTGGCTATTAAAACCAACCTGATTGGCTCTCAGCTGGTCACATGATGTCAGAGGAAACAGTTTCCAGTTTATTTCCACGGAGACGGCATCCACTGAGAAACAATAGAGTGTTGAGGAGCTGTTATCAGGTGTCACCTGAACACGACAGGTGTACCTGTCCTGTCTGACAACGCTCCCACAGTCAGTCTGTGCTGGAGGAAAACCAGTAAGAGTCACTGGTCTGAGTCAAAGCAGCTGTGGGAGTTTATTCATTTTTTTATTCTTTCCCAAAGTCTGTTTACTGAGATGATTCAAACAGAACAGATAGACAACAGTAATATTTGGTCAGTGCACAGATTCCACCTGAGGAGCACCAAATGTCTGTGTTATTGATCATTAATGTTATTGATGATGTCACAGGGTGAACGATGGAAACATCAATGCTGATCACACACTGACAGAAACAAGCTGTTAGCTGATTGATCATCACAACACTTGTTATTTATTATTAAAACACTTATACTGATGAACAGTCGTCAGTCTGAGGTGATCAGCAGGTCTCAGGACTCTGAGTTTCAGCAGATTTTATGAATCTAGCTACTGCTTGTTAAACTTGTAAAGAATGTGGTCAGTGTCCCCTCCACGTCCTCGTGCATGTGTGTGACAGTCATGTAATCATTTTGCATTAAAATCATACTTAGTGGTGTCGTGACAGGAAATGTCAGAAATCAGATTTACTGGACTATTTGTTCATTAACTCTTTTTATCCCCTTAAATTTACTTTAGTTATTTTCTTATTGTTATTTTATCTCATGTATTTAGTTCTTCTTGTTCTTTATCTCCTCTGTCACTCAAGGCAGTGTGATTTGTACCCATGAGGACATTTGGGACGGTGAGAGGCTGATTTCAGGGTGATTGGTTTCTATCACTGTCAGACGTGTGTTTTGCAGTGAGAACCTGCACTATCTCTTACTTGCTGTGAAGTCAGTTTAATAAACATGCGTGAAAGCAAAAAAATAAATCAGATTTACTGTAAACAGTTAATCTGTTAATGCGTCACATGTCCCACAGTATGTTGGTCGACCCTTCCAACAAATTTTTACTTTTTTAAAAGCTATTTATGATTAATCAAATCTCTGATTCAAAGTTTCTCTTAAAATCTACTATGTCGTTCTTTTAGCTGCCTGAGGTGATTTTAATCTGTCAGCTGGCGGCAGCAAACACGTGACTGTCAGCTGACAAAAGTGTTGGTCTACAGGACAAACTTCATGGTACCTTTACCAGATGACAGATTATTTCCTACGTTCACAGTGTGATTTTCTATAAGCCTGAGTGACATCATCAGCTCTCTGTCTCACCAGTCCTCTCTGACCTGTCTGTGATTGTCAGAGCGGTGTGGTCATGGTGACATGTACACCGCTATCCCTACTGAAATCTAGTGATGGATCTGTCAGGCCTGGTTACAGACTCCACCTACTCGGCGCACCGCAGGTGTATGCCGCCGTGCTAATGGTACGGACCAAGTGTCTAGATATCTGGAGCAATCAGAGCCTCCTCCATCTTTGTCATGGTTTCTGTCAGTGCTGCGCTCTCTGTCATCGCCATCAAGCTCAAATATGTAGACACTGCATTGACAGCATCGGCTTGTTGCTGCAATGTGTCAACATGGCCGCCATGTTGCTCCAGGCAGGACTGTAAACAAATGACAGTAAAAACAGGAGCTGCAGTTTTTCTGGATAAAAAGCAACATAATGTTTATATTTCAAATTGATCTCAGTGAGTTGTTTTTATATTCGTGGGTTTATGATCTATGTGTGGTAGAAAAAAGTTTTGTCTCCAGTTAATAACCCTGTAACACAGAGATCGGCGTTGTGGAAGCAAAAGATGCGTGGCCATGGATGTCATAAGAGACATGGATACAGTGTTGGTCTTCTGCATCATTGGGTCAATAGAGCAGGTGCAGTGTGACTGCTGCCGGCCGCTGACTTGTACGGGGATGAAATGATTCAATCTTCTTGGCTTTCCAAATAGTATCAGACCGAATGGATCAAATCCTGACAGTGGGACGAGTCATATCATGGAGGCTTGAGACGCTCAAAATTTCTCCACTGATTTTCAGACGTCTCTTTCACAATATAAATCATCATTACTTTAAGATAGAAGTCTGACACAGATTATTTTGTACTGAAGCAGCTGATCGACAGTATTTGGTACGATGTTCAGTGTCTTTAAATTTGAACACAAATATTCCTTGTTTGTTTTTCCAGAGAGCTGCATCCTGTACGAGGTGAAAAGCCTCCGAGGCAGCATTTTACATAAAATATCTACTCACTGTTTAACCTGCTCCTGAAACCTGACTCCTCTCAGCCTTCAGTGCATCAATATCAGGTGTGTGCAGAGTCGTGGGCCGGTTGTGTTGTGGCCCACAGGCCGTATGTTTGACACCCCTGATCTAGTGTAACATCTAACATACGTGTCAGCAGGGCTTTATAAAATATGACATCACAGTCGTTTACCGTCTCTGTTAAATGGTGACTGATCTCGTCCTTTTCACCCACTGTCCTCCTTCTTTGAGTTAGCTGCTGACTGCTAACTAGAGCTGTCCCCCTGACTGAGACTGTTCCTAGTGGACCAGCAGTCCTCATCAGGGTCCATCAGTGGACCAACAGTCCTCATCAGGGTCCATCAGTGGACCAACAGTCCTCATCAGGGTCCATCAGTGGACCAGCAGTCCTCATCAGGGTCCATCAGTGGACTGACGGTCCTCATCAGGGTCCATCAGTGGACCAACAGTCCTCATCAGGGTCCATCAGTGGACTAGTCTCCTGCATGTTTCTGATATGAATGTAATGATTAAATGATATATTTTGGTGGTTTGAGTTGAAGGTGTGAGAAAGAATAGTATCAGTAACATTGTTAACACTGTGCTACATTACAGAGAAATACAAACCGTACTAATGAACCTTCATTAATATAGGCCTATATTTTATCTCCAAGTGCACGTCACACACTGAGCGAGCCGCCTGTTAATGACGCTGTGGGCTAATGGGCATGTAGCTACTTCCATGTTTCACATGATACGTCATGTTTGTAGTCGACCAATGAAGATGAGTTTACATATCACCTTGGGTTCGTCCTTCACCTTCTCAAAATGATCCCACACTTTGGATTTCCTGCCCGACATGTTATTAACTAGCCTGTGGAATAACTGCAGGTACCAGCCCTGGAAATTAACCTGACTCCTTAGCGTGGACACTTCCTGTGTCTGTCCTTTCAAAGTAAAGTCACATGTGGTCCAGTCATATAGGTTTGGATTTATTTTGACAAGGTGCAGCTCCTGATAGAGTTTCAGGTTTGTTTTATTCTGTTTGTTTTTTTGTTCTGTGACTAAGCGACCAATGAAATCTTTCTGAATAATGACCTCTCTGGTTGAGTGTGTGTTAGACTGACAGGAACTGAATCACTGTCATGAGGAAAACTGGATTTGTTTTCTGTTCCTTGATTAATACTTATGCACCCTGTACAATATGATCCAATGCTGGAGTCGCCAACTTTCCAGCTGGCTCGTGCACAGACTGGTTGAATAGTTTTGTACTTCCACCTCAGTAATAATGCAGGAGAACCACTGCTCCACCCAACTGAGTCTTGGCACGGAGACATCAGTAGGTCTAAACTGGTTTGGACAGTTTGCACTTTAATAGTAATAAAACAATGATACACTGTGCTGTGCAGTGCCAACTGTTAAGAGTTAAAGCAACTGCAGACACAAGTTTTCCTTTGCACTCCCAGAAGATCACAGACCCATGAATATAAAAACCACT